GGGCCAGGGGCCGAATCGTGAAGCCAATCTAAAACCACATAAAACTGATCTTCGGAAAGCCTCCATATCTGGGCCTGTCGAACTTTCTGGACGCGTTCCTCTAGCTGGTCCCTCGCGGCAATCTGAGACGGAACAGAAGCGTGAACTTGGCTCCAGTGAGCGGCAGGAGCATGAGCCCCAGCCCCGGCAGTCGGGAAAGCGTTTCCGTCGGCATCCGCGATGCCCGTGAGGAAGATTCTCCGATTCTTCGCAGACCAGGCCGATACCAATAGCTGAAGACGTGCAGCTCGGTGCTCATAAAATTGGGGGGATTCCGTTGCGTGCCCGACGATTTCCTCATATTCTTGTTGGTACCGAGCAGCAGCAATCTTGGCCATATACTCTTGAAAAGCTAGCTGGTTGTGCCACCTGCCACAGTCAGGGTCGGGAAAGTTGAGCAGCGCGGGGATGGCCTTGACAGCCTTCTTCAGCGCGCTAATCTTGCGGCCCCGCATGGCGCGATTCACCGCGAACAGTCGCTGCAGATGCTGCTCGGCGGAGCTAGGCGGGAGCTCATAAAGACGATGCTGTACGAGACGGCCTGCTTCGCGCATCAAACAAGTGAGCTCTTCCACCATCAGCGGAGGATTATCTTCGCACACCCCGTGCTCGTTGATCAACTTTTCGAGCAGGACCTGATGCAGAGGGTGACGAGAGACCCAGGACGCAACGGACCGAGCGCGGTTGTCTCCACCTCCGTTCAGATGAAGGTACACCGGTGCGTGGTCGCTCGGGAGGTCGGCTTCACAGATATTCCAGGAGGTCCCAGGGGTCGGTTTCAAGTCCAGGAAGTCCCCAGTGAACATGTTGGTGTAAATACGGTCGATCCTGGACGCGCAAAAAACATTCCCATTCCGAGTGGCGTGGTGGGTCGGATTCTCTTGGTAGCATTCCATAACATCAGGCAATAAAGACCAGAACTTGTGAGCGAGGGAGTCAGGGCTGTTGATCTGCACAGAGCCGTCTACGCGCTGGGTGCCCTCGCCCAGCTCGCAAAAGTTGAAGTCTCCAACAAAGCAGAAGAGGCCCTGGACAGTATGCAAAGAGTCGGCGCACATGCGAAGGATTCGGATTTTCTCTCTGTGGCGACTGTTCGGGTCGAGGTGGAGGTTCAGGATGGATAGTGACGGCATGAAGACGACCTGGAATAACCGCAGCATGGTGATGGTGAGGAAGCAGAGCGAGAAGAGAGCGAGCGAGCATAATCGCGTTCCCGCCAGCGTGGCTGTCGGGGCAGAACGTACAGAAAGATTCAAAGCCATGGAACTCGGTGCGCAAAGATTCGCGGCCCCCTTCGTGGCCATGCGTTTCTTGTGGGCAAATGATATTGTTTGCTCTAGTTAGGTCAGTGAGTCGATCGAAGGTCTTGACCTGGGTGTCGTGGTCCCCAGAGACCGCGCCGAACAGGGCATGGCAGTTCCAGGTAACAATCCGAATACCGCGACCATTGGCCAGGGACGGCGGAAAAGTTAGGCGAGAACCCGCGGGGTCCTCAGGCGAAGGCGGCTGGCCTCCAAAACCAGCATTCGACAGAACAGGCGAGCAGCGCGCAGAGGACGGAGGCAGCGGGGGGAGAACCAGGCGGCAGAAGCAGCGAAGCGGGAACAGACGAACAAAAATTGCACACGATACTAGGCTGGCTTCATTTCAGTACTGCTGGACGGAGGCCTGGGCCTGCTCGATCATCCAGTTGGCGGTCGTCTCGGAGATTTGCCAGTCGGAGAGCTGGTCGCTGATCGGCTTCAGCTCGTACATGCCTCCAGGCGCGTCGGACAGCTTGGAGATCTCCCAGTGGTCGTTCTCGGTGGTGATGCTGAACACGCCTTTGAACGGGTTCGTGCCGATCTTGACCGCCGGGCTCCACTTGCCCACGTTCTCGAGGTGCTTGCGCATGAGCGGCCAGAGAACACTCAGGACGCGGTTCGTCTGGCGAGCCTGCAGCGGCATATCCCTGCGGCATCGAAGTGGGTGAAGGGAGGTGTTGCGGTAGTCCTGCCACGTCACGGGGTCCGCGAGGAACCAGTCATGAAAGTCGCGGGCCTTCTGCTCAGAGCTGAAGGTGATGGCGAACGCCTGCGACACTTTGTGGAAGTGTCCTGTCATCCCTTCGCTGAGGTTGGCAGGAAGCCTGCCTTTCATCTGGTTGAAGACGGTGCGTCTGTATGGCTCAGTGACTGGCCGAGGAAAGCCACTGATCCAGCGCCTGGTCGGGTCGATCTGGTTGCGCTCGTCGGTGGCGAGGTCGATCACGGGGACCTCGGACGCACTGGAGCCGACGCTGGTGCCCATTCCCAGGCGGCGGGACTTGGACGGCGGACGAGTCGAAGAAGAGCCTGCGTCAGACGGGGCACGTTGAAGTTCAGCGAGGGACGCCTCGAGCCTGGCCATCTTCTCGTTCATCTGGCGCTGTACCTCGAGCCCTGCGTTCTTGGCGGTGGGGTTGCCGTCCTCGGTGTCGAAGAAGGCGGCGTTGGTGGCGGCTTCATGGTGAGCCTGTTCAAGTCGAGAAACTCGTAGATCCATGTCAAGCACTAGCGCTTCACGTGCGGCCTTGGCCTCGTCGAATTTGCCCTCCATTGCGAGCTCGAGATCCGAAATCTTATCCTCGAGTCCTTCTGCGGCGGCGAGTCGTTCTTTGGCATCTTTGATGTCCTCCCTCATGGCGGTCATGCCGCCATTCAGACCTTCGAGCACCTGAAGCAGCTGAGCATTGGATACTTCTGCGGCGGCCATCGCGCTGCCAACGGCCGAGACAGGAGTGATACACGTGAGGAGTAAACGAATTGGCAAAATGCCTCGAAGAACGAAAAGGGTCAACCCCCGACACTTGTGTCGCGGGCCGAGTCGGGAGCAGCCCTGCTCTGACCTGGCCAGCTGCCTTGAGGAGATGGCAACTTGAGCCAAAATGGCTTGAGCCCAAATGGCTACGGAACAGGAACAGGAGGAGGAGGAGGAGGAAGAGGAGGAGGAGGAGGAGTGGGAGAGGCGAGAGGAGAGCGGCGTGAGGCACTTTGGGTGCGCTCGCGCCACACCTGAAGTCCTTATCCCTCCCTCCCATCCCTTCCGACTGCGCCGACGACTTCTCGACAGTCAAGATTGATTGAAGGGGGCACGGGAGAGGACACAAGACCTTAGAGGGCCCTGGAAACGACAGGGCCGTTTTTGTTACTGGTTCCGTTCTGCCGTTTTTGTTGCCGGTTCCGACGCCGTTTTTTACCGGTTCCATCGCCGTTGTTTGACCGGTTCCGGCTCCAGTTCCAATCCTGGAGCAATTTTTGTTGCCGTTTCCGGTCGCCGTTTTTTTGCCGCTTTCATTTTCAAGGGACATGTTTTGGAAACGGTGGAAAAACGGCCCTGCCGTTTCCGGGGCCCGCAAAGGTCAAGATTGATTGAAGGGGACACGGGAGGGGACACGAGACTCTTCCGAAGGCCCCATTGCCCCAGGAATGCGGAGGAACGGGGCGGGGCGCGAACACAGAGGGCACAAGAGCACCCTCGATTTGGCAGGGTCGGCCTGCTCATCAAACTCGACGGCGTCCGCGGACGAGTGCCTTACCCAACCTGGAACTCCAATAAGAGGACCCCGTCGTGTCATGCGCAATCGGGAAAGGGGAGCTGCGTACATAGGAGGACAGCTCAACTGGAGGATGAGCAGGAGGCAGAGGAGGATGAGGATGTGGAAGTAGAAGGACGAGGACGAGAAGCAGTACGAGCTGGAGCGGAAGGAGCGGGAGGAGCAGGCGGACCAGTGTAAGGCGGAGGGAAAATGAGGGAGCCGATAAAGATAAATAATGACTCGGATCCAGAAAAGGCCCACGCTGGGGCGAGAGCGCCATTATGACCACGCTGCAGCGTGAGCACCATCTTGGAACGTAGAATACCATCGGATTGTTAAAACGCATAGAAAACTGGACGCGGAGAGGGCCGAACATCTTCCGCACATCGTCAGGGGAGAGATGAGAGTAGTACTCATAATGTGTACACTCGGACCTAGGCCAGAATTGCATCCTTCAAGGGCATGAGACCTTCCACCAGCAGAAACACACAAAGCATACAAGGCGAGCCTCCCCAAGATGCCGACGAACATACAACAAGCACGAAGAACATGAAGGTACCCTCACCGAATCGACCTCGATCTTACACCCTGGTGCGACTGCAATTACATGAGGGGGGAGGGGACAGGAGCAGGAGCAGCAAGGGCAGGATGGGGTGGAGACAGCACCCGGGGAGATGGAAGGAGGGAAAGGAGGAGGCAGAGATGGAGGGGGAGAGTTGGCGGCGCGCACAAGGGGGGTATATGGGGGATGGGGGGAAGGCTGCTTCTGAGAAGGCGCCGCCCTCACACTTTGACTACAAGCTGATAGATAAAAAGGCTCACGCCTTTCAAGAAGCAGCCTCCTGCGAAAAAAAACCCTCCCCACTCCCCCACCCTCCTCCCTCTGCGCGTGGCCGAGGCTCGCCATCGCTCGGATGTCCATTACCAGTGCACTTTTTGGGTTTCGTGCGTTTTTTTTGCTCGATGGTCCAGGATGGTCCTCGATGGGTCCTCGCCGAGGAAAAAGTGCACACGTCCGAGCGGCGCCAAGGAGAGAGAGAGAGAGAGAGATGGAGAGAGAGAGAGAGAGAGAGCCGTCTGGACGTCTTCGGGCGTTTTTAGGTTTCGTGCCTTTTTCTTGCTCGATGGTCCAGGGCGGTCCTCGATGGTCCTCGCCGAGGAAAAAAGTGCACACGTCCGAGCCACGCCAAGGAGAGAGAGAGAGAGAGAGAGAGGGAGAAAGAGAGAGAGCCGTCTGGACGTCTTCGTGCGTTTTTAGGTCTCGTGCGTTTTTTTTCTTGCTCGATGGTCCAGGACGGTCCTCGATGGGTCCTCGCCGAGGAAAAAGGGCACACGTCCGAGCCACACCAAGGCGAGAGAGAGAGAGAAACAACAAAAAACGCCGTCTGGACGTCTGCGGGACGACCGCGCAGTCTGGCGCGAACCGGCTGGCAGAGAGGCCGGGCGCCCGGCGAGGCCTCCTGCCCATGGGGGGGGCCGGCGGGCGACGTCCGCGGGGCCCCGGGGCACACAAAGAGGTACTCTGAGGTCCATCGTTGCCCGGGAGGCGCGAGGCGCCCGCAAAGGCTCGCCGTCGTCGCCGTCGTGGTCGACCTGTCGCTGACGTCGCCGTCCTCATCCCTACTCCCTTGTGCCTCCTCCTGTTCCTCCTCCTCCTCCTTCTGCTCCTCATCCTCCTCCTCCTCCTCCTTTCCTCCTCCTCCTTCTCCTGCTCTTTCTCCTTCTCCTCCTCCTCCTCCTCCTCCTCCTCCTCCGCCTCTTCCGCCTCCATCCCAGAACTAATTTCGAGCACCCGGGAAGGTGTCGAAAGGGTGACGAAAAAGTGTCGAAGCAGTGTCGGACGAGTTTCCCCAAGGGCCCGACACGTGAAACCGTGTCGGACGAGTGTCCCCCAGGGCCCGGGGACGCACAAATAAGTACTCTTAGGTTTATGTTGCTCCCATCGTACTTGAGGACCACATCCCAGAACTAATGTCGAGCACCCGGGAAAGTGTCGAAAGGGTGTCGAAAGAGTGCCGAAGCAGCGTCGGGCGAGTGTCTCCCAGGGCCCGACACGTGAAAACCTAGAGTTTTGGGGGTACTTTTCTGGCGCTCGAAATTCTTTCTGGTGGTCAAAGCTAAGGAAGGTTGGAACGTCATAATCTTAGGTCGGGCCTGTCCCCCCACAGGGGGATTTTGGATGAAAAATAAATAGTCGAACAATACTCCCAAGTGGCAAAACACTATTCAAAAAATCATCCCCAGGCTATCTTGTAACTATTTTTGGATATTCCTCCTGCAGATGGACAAACCCGACTCAAAAGTACTCACAAATCCCACGATCCCCGATGTTTTCCCAAACGTTCTGGGTTGTCGTCTGGCCCCCCACTTCCCATATTTTCCAATCGCGTCCTGGAAGTCGACGATTCGAATCGTGTCGGGCGTTCTTCCCCTCCTGAGACATTCCAGCCCGCGGCCCGCGACCGCGACGGGCGCACCGCCTTCTGCGCGCCTTGTGCCGTCGCCGGCGTCAACTCTGGACAAGGCTCCGGGGCCGGGGCTGCTGGCTGGCGCCGGGGCCGCGCCCGGGCTCTCCAAGCTCGTGGCCGCCCGTCTCTTCGAGGCGGCGCGGCTGGCTTCCAAGGTGGGCCCCGCCACTCGGCGTCTTTCGGCCTCTTCGGTGGAAGACTGACCGGGTCGGGTCGCTTGTGTTCGGCAGTGCCAATGTGCGACGCTCCTCGAGGAGTCCGGCCTCGGGGGACCCACTCGAGACGGGCGAGGGCCCAGACGGGAAGGGATGGAGAGTGAAGGTAAACACGAGGGGTGGAGGAGGGACAGGGGAGGATGACCAGGGAGAAGGGGGATGAGGCGGATGGGGAGGAAGGCCGAAGGAGTAGGTGGAGTGGGTGGAGTGTGCGGTGGAGGAGGAGGAGGAGAAGGAGGAGGAGGAGGAGGAGACTTCATGAGGAGAAGGAGGTGAGGTGGAAGAAGTGGAATGACGAGGGAAATGGAGGGGGGAAGGAGGCGACGGAGACTTGGGAAGAGGAGGTGCAGGAGGACGAGGGCCAGGGTGGATAGGAGGTCGACGAAGAGGGGGAGGAGAGGAGGGAGGGGGAGAAGGACCAGGGAGATGTTTGAGGAGGACTCGGGCAAGGAGCGCGCCCTTCCTCTGCGCAGACTAGTGACCAGGAGAGCAGCAGCCGGAGCAACGCTTTTCAAACACCTCATTGCGAGCGAATGCATGGATGCCAGTGTTTGGTGGTTTCGTCTGTCTACTCGGAATTCCTGGTGGGGCTGGCACCACAAGGAAGACAAGCAGAGGTCGAAGGATCGAATGGAGACGCTTCGCCAAATCAAGGTCCATGAACGCATCGTACACTGCACGCAAGAAAGAGGAACGGCCTTGTCAACAGGTCTGACACGACAAAAGAAAGCACCATTGCGAGAGTGGTTCCGCTTTCAATTGTTGGAGGTGATGCTGGGCGATACTGCTCGCAGGGTGCCGCAAACACTCGCTTCTCAGCTCAACGGCACCAGTGGCCGAGTCAGCGCGCCAACAGAGACTAGGCCCAACACGGCGGGGAGGCTGCAGCGAAACCTGCGGGGTGCGGCCGGGGCCCCGTGCTGACTGACGCACCTATCACGTGCTCCAGACCACGCAAGACGTCGGAAGCGTCTGGCCTCCGAGTCCCCAGACCCCCGACGTCGCGATGTTTCACAAAAATAACGACACACCTTCCGTCGTGTTTTTTACAAATCAAAAGGGTCTGGGTCTCCAGACGATATGATGCCGCGGAGCCCATCCGAGACCACGGGTAGGCGGAGAGAGCGGAGGCACGTGGGGTGCAGCACTGCTGGCTCTACCTTCGCTGGCCTCTGGCTGCTCTCTCACACAGCAGGGGCTCGACCACAAGAAACCCAACCCTGGGACCCCAGGGCGTACGTTGAGTTTTGGTATAGGAACGTCACGTACTCCATCGCAAATCCATCGAAACCCAAGAACCCCACGGGCACCCTGGGGGCAAGCAGGGTGTTCCTCGGCATGGGTCTCCCCTGCATGCCGCCGCGAAGAACCCTTCTCGACGCACCCAGGTGGACGACGCCGGCACCGCGGCAAAGCCACAGCAGGCCCTGCGCCCCGCGCCCCAGGCAGCAGAGGCCAGCACCGCGGCAGACCCACGGCGAGCGCACCGCGCCCGAGGCGGAGCTCGCCGCGGTGGCCGAAGCGCCCTCCCCAGGACGGACGGCCGCGCGCCCGCACGGCGACATACTCTCTTGTCCCTGCACGGGAGGAGAGACGAGGAGGGCGGGGAGGAGTGAGGAGGATAAGGAGGAGGATAAGGAGGAGGAGGAGGCGGAGAAGGAGGAGGAGGAGGCGGAGGAGGAGGAGGAGGAGGCTAAGGAGGAGGAGGAGGAGGAGGAGGAGGCTAAGGAGAGGAGGAGGAGGGAGGGGAGGAGGAGAGGAGGAGGAGGAGGGAGGAGGAGGAGGAGGAGGAGGAGGAGGAGGAGGAGGAGGAGGAGGAGGGAGGAGTAGCCATTTTGGCTCAAGCCATTTTGGCTCAAGTAATCCATTTCTCGAGGTGCATACAGTGAGCTATTGTTGGTGCTCTCACGATCCCTGTTCGAGCCTGCCCGAGGCCTTACAGGTTCCTTTCGGCTATTCATGAAAGGCCAGGGTTGGTACAACCACTGGCAATCCCCGTTCTCGCAGTATCATGGCGCTCAGCAGTACGGTAGTTGGAAGCCTCAGGGACAGCCATCCTCCAAAGTTGTGTGCCAGGGTTGCGGCTGCAAGAAGAATCGCCTCACGTGGTCCCACTGCATGCACTGCAAAGCCCCGCTGCAAAGTGTGCCTGGCAGTCCGTTTGGTGGCAGTCATCACGTGTCTGAGTGGAACGGTGTTCCTCCAGGTGTTTTCGCAGCTTCTCCCTTTTCCAACGCAGGAGGTCCTGGCTCAAAAGGCTTGGGCAAAGGCCCTGGAGGCGTTGCAGCCATGGGAGGAGGCGCAAGCGGTGGGAAAGGTGTCGCGGGACAGCCTCCGCTCCCGACTGGTCCCGTGCCGAACCTCAGCCTGGCCGAGGCAAAGCAGCTCGCTGAGCTGTCGCAGAAGGCGGGGGACTCGGCCGCGTTAAAGCGCTACTCTGATCTCGCCAAGCACTTGGAGAACGCTCAGAAGCCCCCGCCTGCAGTGTCCCCTCAGACGAAGTTACAACAAGCCGACAGTGCAGTCAAGAAGCTTGAGAAGAAGCTCGAGGCCGACCTCGCGCGGATGCTCAGGCTACAGAACGATCTGGAGGAAGCGACAACCAAGATGCATGATACCAAGTCCGCTTTGGCCAAGGCGGACCAGGATTACAATAATGCCTTGGCGGAATGCAACGAGAGTGCCAAGATCGGGGCGCCCAACATCGCGTCGAAGGCGCAGTTCACACCAGTACCGTTGGGCGACCTGGTTGAAGGCAAAGTCGATATCAATTCTCTCTTGTCGTGTGACCTGCTGGACGAGCTCAGCCTGGAGTACGAAGTTACGGAGACCGACCGCATGGAGTTCGAGAAGCGGAAGGAGTCGTTGCGTGACGGAGTGCAGAAACTGGCATCTGACCTGTTCAAGCAGGTTGTCGACGCCGTGCAGGATGCGAAAAATGTCCACGTGCTTCACATGTCCCGTCTCATCCCGAAGCGCAGGAAGAACAACGAGGGCGGCGCACAGCCAGCTGGTGCGCCAGAAGAAGGTGAAGTTCAGGTTCCACGCGCTGCTGCTCAGGGTGCTGCTGCCGCTGCAGCCGCCACAGGTGAAGGTGTTCGGGAAGCAGGTGTGGAACCCGTCCCAACTGATGGCGAACAGGATGCAGAGATGGCTGAGCCTGCTGGGCAAGAGCCCGACGGGCGTGATGTGCGTGAGAGGGCCGCTGAGGCTTTGGCAGCATCGGCCCCGCCGCAGGCGGCAACTGCAGCTGCCGCGGCAGGCCAGCACTCTCTTTAGCCTAGGGCAGCGTGTCCTGGCCAGTAACCTTTTAGCTTTTAAGGACTACGCCGACAGGAAATCCGTGATTAACTCCAAGTCGCACCCGTCGGGTATTAGATATTTCCGTAGATTGCTGCATCAGTGTCCTGGCGTGTCGGGTAGCGAACGGTCTGGGTTTCAGGCCTTTTCTGCCCCCCTCCTTCCAGGATCTGTTGTTGTGCCCCCAGGCATCGCCCAGGCCCCCCTAACCTCACCTCCCCGTTACCTGTCGGATCTGCCACGGGCTCTGGACCAGGTGGTTTTGAAGTTTTTGAAGGAGGAGTTTCGGTGGTGACTGCCAATCTCAACTCTTGGGGCACTCTCAAGTCGTACCTGGAGTCGTCGGACGCGTCTGTCACCCTGGGCCAGGAACATCGCCTTTTGGACCCTGATGCCATTGCGCAAGCCTCTTCGTCTGCTCTGAAGCTCGGCTGGAAGTCGACCTGGTGCCCAGGTATCCCTGGAGAAGGTGGAGGGGTCAGCTC